TATGAGATCAAATAAATTAGGTTATGGTCCAAACGTTATTCAATATAAGGCTAATAGATTCCCTTATAACGAACCTTTTGTTCAATCACTTGAACTGAAGAATATACATTTTATATCACAAAGTACTGTAAGTATGCTTGGAATCATTATTAATTTGCGAGTTTTTAAAAAACTACCTAGTATTAAATATTAACTTTAAAAATTCAAAGACTTATATGGTCAGATTCACTCAAAAAATTAGGCATATATTATCTACAAGTGATCTTGGATCATTTATTGGTTTTCAACCACGTTATTATTCAATACCTTATATCGAATCAACTATAGGCAGGTTTGATTTTAAATTATTTTATGATGGGTATATTTAAATACTAATGTTAATTAAAAACAATAGAGCCCATTGTGTATAGAAATAATCCGACTGCTAATCCGTTGCTTTATGCAACAGTGGCTATTGCAGCACCGTCTACAATCGTAGATCAAGAAACTGAACAAAGGTAAGATGAATAATTAACAAACACAACTTGTTAGTATACTATCAAAATTTTGTTTTTAAAATATCCGATTGTATAATTTTAAAAATAATAATAGGAACAAAACCGTAAGATTTGAACCTTTACTATGTTTAGCGTTAGCTTTTTTGAAAAGTTTTGGTTGTAATCATTATTCAAATAAATAGATTCTATCTTTGTTGGGAATTGTTTCTGGTCTTTATGCCGCCATAACTGCCTTTTATTTATTTTTATTTGGTAATTCTTTTTTTTTTTTTTTGGAGTTAACTATTTGTTTTTCTAGCCAAATAACTTTATCATTTATTTCATTTCATTATTTACTTTATTTTTATATGTTTTAGGACCTGGAATTTTCAATCCATGGGGATATGTACAAAAAAGAATCATATCTAGAGGAGGTCTATCATATACAATCGATGCACCAATGGATTTAGAAAAATTGCCCCTTGAAGAAAGGGTTAAGCGTTTAGAAGCACTTGACATGTTTCTTAATAATCATGTTATTGGCATTCCCTTTGGTAGAGATGTGAAAAATCCAAACAAAGATGACCCCGAACTATCATCTTAAATCTCTTAGGATAAAGCAAATCTCTCTTAAGAAAAGTGTAAATTCTGGAAAGTGTGACAAGAGTAAGACACGATTCTTTTCTTGATAAAACTTACAAAAACAGGATCTCTTGCGGATAAGGTGACACCACTAATAAAAATGTATTATTAACCAATTAATTTAAAATAGGTGTCACCCATACTACAAGAGATCCCCAAAAACAATTTACTGGGTTTATTCGGTAAAAGGAATATAGTGATAAATGAATTATTACTTTTAGTAGATAGAATGTAGAAGCAGATGGCTTTATTAGTTAAAAGAATCCATATGTAAATATTTTATATAAATAAAGGGAAGAAAAAATAACTTCATAAGGCGCCACATTACCTATTTTAGTCAAAATGAAAATTTCCAGTCTAGTATATTATTCTCGATTGTTACGTAACGTTCGTTACATTACGTAAATTTCCCGAATCTTTTCTATTCTTTTTTTGGTTGCATTTATAACCGAATTAAAGGTGTTCTCAAGCATCTTAAACAATTTGCCGGAATGAGTCTGAGAATAAATTTTCATTAGTAAAAAAATAGTTTAACGAATCAATTGTGTTGACTATTCCAATGAATAAAACATATGATGAAAGTTTAGTACGTCAAAAGGAAAAAAATTTTATTAGCGAAAGATCGTTTAACCGATCAAGGGTGTTTATCATTCTAGTTAACAAGAGGTGGAGGTCCTTTTTTTTTCATAGAGTTGCGCTTATTAGTCGAAGTTTTTCATTGATTGATTAGAAAACATAATTGTTCAAGTACTTCATTCTTTTTACATTATCATCGTTATGAATCTTTTAAAATCATTACCAACGCCGACAAATTATTACCTTATTACTTATGCTATAATCTTAGCCGCAAATAAAAAAAAAGGCACGTTTTTTGCGTTGTTGGTTTGTAGTAAGTTCTGAAAAAGAAGAAATAGTATTTGGAAATGTCGTAGATTGGACTTTATCGTCAATTTATTTATTCGATTTGTTAAAACCGTAATCGCTAGATGGTAACAATGATAAAGATGTTTGCTCAAGCACCAATTGTAATCAATATTTCATAAATTAATTATATTGAGGAAGTTACGTGAGCATAGTTCAATTATACTATCAACAACGGTCAAATTAAATATCGTTATAATGCTGTAATGGTTAAGTATATACTATCTAAATCACTAGTCAATCACATCGGGTGTGCTGCTTGAAAACACCCTAACGAATGCTAAGGCTTGGTATTTTGATTTGATTCTTCGCACCTTATTAAAATCTATACTAATATTTAAACCTCACGAATGTTTGTCTGCTTTCTATATTTGCTATTGCCGGTGCAACAAAATTTTTCTCTTTCACACTAATATAAAATATTCGTGGTAGAAAATTTTGCCATCCCATAAAACTAGATGATAAGGCTTGATGTAAACAACCCTACATAAGCGAATAGTAATATGGGCTAGCAATAAGTTAAAATCAAGAATAATCTTATTTTTGTTTCTAGAAAATGGGAAGAAATATATTTCAGAATAAAATTAAAGATAAAACATCGATCCTAATAAAACCATTTTTAATACTCTTAACGGAAAGGGTTTGATTCAATAACTTTTGTACCATCAGATTCGGCCTCCAAAGATTCGGTCATTTCTAAAACACATTGGTTATATTTCTGAAAATCTGATCAGTTTTAAAACGCATACAGTCAGGATTTTACCAAAAATGAAGGATGTTCAAAGCGGTATAAATTAATGTTTTATTTTTGCCATCTTAGGTTTGGTGGTGTTTATATAAATAAAATTTCCTCCCGACATTTTTTATTAATTTATCAAAGTTGGTTCTGATCATCGTTAATTTTTCAGCTAAAATTTATTGTGCGGATACCACACAATTTAGAAACTTCTCCGTGCGGCAAATCAAGAAAAACTATGAGTAACTGTTTACAAGTATGCACTTTGCTTGCTTGTCTTGATTTTACTAGTTTGTCTTTTTGATTTTGCTAATGGGTTATTTTGCTAATTTGTATTCTTTGCATTTTGCTAATTTTGTTTTTTTTTGATTTTTGCTAGATTGTTATTTTGGATTTTGCTAGTTTGCTTTCTTGTATTTTTACTTATTGCACTTTGCTGATTTTGCCTTCTTTTGCTAATTTTATTTTATATTTTTGTTAGTTTTGTTTTGGATTTTTACCAGTTTGTATTTGTATTTTTCTGGCTTTGTTTTGATTTTT